TGGAAAACCCACTACTATTATGGACTATTGGACTATATTGGGATATTTTGCTGAATTCATGTACCTACAGTATTTAAATGCAAATGGAATGCCCTTCTCTAACAAAACTAACCAAAAAAGGGGGATACAAAGAACGACCATTTTGTATCTGTATACTCAACAGTTAGGATAGATATACAGCTCCATTCTCCTAATTCAATGAATACAGAGGTTTATTCCAGTAGTGTTTGAGACAGGATATCATGTCTGCACCTTGTACAATGAATAACCACTAAGACAACAATATGCAACATATTAATTATTGAAAATGTACTAGTAATCGGTTGTGAAACTATCTCATGGTTATTTCTCAATAAAAATATTTTAAAAAAGAAAAATAAGGCCTCAAGTGGAAATCAAAATGCAAAAGTGATTTCATGTAGCACTGCTTTAACTTTACTGTGGAGCAAGTGTAGAGTGTTGGCTGGCACCTTTGCAGGCACCTCCGGTGTGTGCCAGTTGGGAGGAATAAAAGATGATGTGTTCTTTAATTGCACTCACAAATCACCAGGGAACGTCTGGAGACAGTTGCTTGCCCAGGTAGCGACTAGGAACAGCATTTTAGGGAGGTGAGTTTTCCGTTTGAGCAGGAGGCGATTGCTTAGATGTCATGTCGGTCTTCACTTAAGTCAGCTTCAGATAAGCGAGGTCCTTCCTGTACGTGACACAGATTTGAGTGGCTTGAGAGTTCAGTCTAGTGTCAAGAGTTAAAGCCTTGCTAGTTCGTGCTCATGCTGTGCCAGCAGATGGCAGCAAAATACTTGGCTAAAATGTTCCTGGCTGCTTTTCTGTCCCGTAGAAAGTCACTACTGTCTTTAGTTAAGAGCAACACAAAGTGATACCTCGCTTTCGCCAAAAAGATAAAAATGATACCAGCATTGTGTACTTTCACTTCATGTTAAATGGCTTTGAAATGTTAACTTTCCACTTTTTGTTAATAATTCCTTAACGAATATTTTCATGCCCCACAGGATTATTAATATTTTAACATATAATTTTCTGCTTCATAAATTTTTCTAAGTGAACCCAGCTGTTACAGTATGTTCTAGAACTAAAGAACACTTTCCTAAACAGTATATAACTTGTGAGGTACTTTGTATGTGAGAAACAATACTGATCTTTTTCTCCTTCATAAAAAGAAAAAGAAATTGAGTGTGGCTTTTACAGGCCTTGTTGTACAGCCCCTGGGTGTGGCCACCTTAGCCTCACCCTGAATCAGCGACTTCCTGGGAGTGCTGGGCGCAGTGTGGCACGAGCAGGTCTTGTCCCTGTTCTGCACACTGCTCGGGATGCCAGCGGGACGCAAGCTGAACTTTCGCTTCGTGACAAAGCTGGGAAAGTGACACAAGTACGTGCCTTGTGGAGTCCCAGAGCAGAGAAATCCCCCCTCTTTAAAACTCGTGACTTTAGCAGGTATTTTGAAAACTGCTTTAAAAAATAATGCCCATACAGTGCTGAGTTTCCTCCCAATTTTTCACATAACATGTTGCTTGGTTCTTGTAAACTTCAAGACCATGTAAAATGAAGAACTTAGTCATGTTTTATTTGATGAAAACATGATTTATGAAGATCACTTCACGTGTATCTTGCACACTTTGGAATCTTTACAGACCACAGGAAACTTTTTTTCCTGTGTACCCTAAAACAACGGCCCTCCAGACCATAGAACAGCTCTATTTGGAGCAGCAGATGTTGCTACACACGCTTCTCTTTAAGCAGCAGCAGCACAGGAGAAAAATAAAAATTTTAAAAGAGAACAACATGAATGAATACAGAGATGAGCAAGTCGAGTAGCCAAAGGTAGTTGGTTAAATGAGCAGAGACAAGAGATCGGTGATCTGCTCTCTGTATCTTTTTAAACAGTTGTGAGTCTTGTTCCATTGACTCAGGCTTGGTAGCACTACTATGATTTATTTTCCATTGAAACTAGACTGTACTTAAACTGAGGAAGGAAAGTACACGGTATTCTTCCTAGAGTTTTCTTCCTTCCCATTTTGTGTGAGACTCTGCTAGAATTGGCGTGCTGCACCGTGGTAGAGGGCCTCAATTTGCCTCAGAGTCCGCTCACGTTTTCATTTTGGTTTTAATCCTAGCTGACCCCACAGTAAAGGACTTAATCGGTGGCTTCACAGCCCTCCACTACGCAGCCATGCACGGCCGGGCCAGGATCGCTCGCTTGATGCTGGAGTCAGAGTACAGGAGCGACATCATTAACGCGAAAAGCAATGACGGCTGGACTCCCCTGCACGTGGCTGCACACTACGGCAGGGACTCCTTCGTGCGGCTCCTCCTAGAGTTCAAGGCTGAGGTTGACCCCCTCAGCGATAAAGGTACAACCCCACTTCAGCTCGCCATCATCCGAGAGAGGTCAAGCTGTGTGAAAATCCTCCTGGACCACAACGCCAACATCGACATTCAGAATGGCTTCCTGTTGCGCTACGCCGTGATCAAAAGCAACCACTCCTACTGTCGGATGTTCCTTCAGCGGGGGGCAGACACAAACTTGGGGCGCTTAGAAGACGGGCAGACGCCTTTACACTTGTCTGCCCTTCGGGATGATGTGCTCTGCGCACGGATGTTGTATAACTACGGAGCGGACACGAACACGAGGAACTATGAAGGTCAGACGCCACTGGCTGTTTCAATAAGTATTTCCGGAAGTAGTCGACCTTGTTTGGATTTCTTACAAGACGTCACAAGTACGTAAAATTATATTATTTTGTTGCATCTTTTATTTTTTTAATTTAAATCTTCTGTGGTGCTTAAGGTGTTTCATAACATGAAATGACTGCACGTCACCATTCCTGTAAGTCCTACTGGGTAAGTAATGCTGTATTCATCCAAAAAAAAATTTTTTTTTAAAGGTTCTAAATTCAATTGTGTTACTAAAAGTAATAGGATAGATAGTAAGGGTGAGAGGAAAAAATGGGAAAAAGGTAAGAGAACTTTCAAAGTGAACAAAGATTTATGGTAGCAAAGGCAATTCCTACAGGTCAAAAAATAGCCGTCCTAGGATTTTATAGACTTAAGATTTGTGAAGAGAAATCTGTTATTCTAATGTGTTTTCCTTTAAATGTGACCTGTTTCTTTTCTTTAGCGGCTTTTAGTATACTGTTCTATGCTGAATTTCTGGAATCTTGATTATTATGTGTCTGGGTGTGGTTTTCATTGGATTGATATTATTTGGAGTTCTATATGCTTCGGTTACAGGATTGTCAGATTGTTGTCCCATATTTGGGAAGTTTTCTGCTATTACTTCTGCCCATATTCTTTTTATATCATTTGTATTGACTCCTCCCTTCTCATTGATGCCTATTATATAGACTTAAGATTGAGGAATTAGAGAATTTTGGATTTTAGATTCCTTAAGTGCGAGAATGTTCTAGAACATTCTTTGTAGCTGAGGGTTTTTTTTTAATATTTTAATTACAGCTTTTCTACTTCACGTGCACCCACATGAAATAGAAGGGCAGTATTCCTTATTTCGGTATCCTAGCATAGCTGACATTTATCATCATGGGTCAGAGGGGAATTTAGCCTTCTGTCCCCAGGCCACACGGCATCCATTCTTATCTGCCCTGTTTTTCTGTGTGTCAGTTTTTTTGTTATTATTTTGAGGCCCTGTAAGTGTCTGACCTGCCTTATGTAGCAGCACATGTGTCTGAGCTGTTTTCTGATGGAAGGATTAGTTTGTGTGGACTTAGCTGCACTCTCTGGTTTAGCTTTCTTTTGACCCCTCAGGTATGTGTCCCAGAGGTTAATGTCCAATACATAAAGCTAAAGTCTATAAACAAAATTAATTCTGCTATCTGCTGTCCTTTCTAAATGCCTTTGTCCTCATTTCAAACTTTCATTTGCTATCGTGGAAGACATACTTTTTTTAAAATTTTATGGGAAAAAAGTAAAACAAAAGTTCATAACAAAATAATAGAGAATGACAGTAGTTCATATGTTGCATGTTTTTGTCTTTTAAATAATTGCTCAGAGTATAAGATATGGGCACAGGCTGCTGCAGTCGATATTAGCGCAGACCGTCCTTTCAGTAAACTAGGGGATGCTAGTCGTGTAAATGGCCTGCAGTTTTTTCCCGTTTCCCTTTCCCCTGTCCTAGCTCCTTTTTCCTTTTGGGCAATTTCTTCCCATTTCACAATATCTGTTGTACACTTCAGACCTTATTTACTCTTCCCGTTTTGTGGAAGGCATGCTAACATCCTGGGTTCTGGGTACCAGCAGGCCTGGGTTTTACTTGACCCGCTTGGAAGTAGTTCTCCTCTACTTGAAATTCAGCTTTTGTTTTAGGATTAAATGAAATATAATTTGAATTTTCTGTATTTAAGAGGGAGATGAAGTTATGCCCAGTAATGGACAGAAAGTGTTCAGGGTAAAGTGCAATAAGAAATCCTACTCGGGTCAAACTCGGTGCAGACGAGAACTTGGTGTTTTGCTGGACACTTTGTCTGGCTCTCCAGTGTGGAAGCAGCGTGTTAGCCACTGAGAGAACTTAATTTTCATACTTAATTTTAATTAATTTAAATTTAAGTGACCATAAGTGCTAAGGACTTTGTTTTGGTCTGTGCAGACCTGCCTGACCTGCGAGAGGTATTTGGAGCTCTCGGGCACAGGTTGCCTGGTAGAAAGCTTTTGGAGCCCACACCGGTAGCCAGAAACATGGCACTGCGGCCACTGGTAGCCTTTGTGTTCCTTGTTCCTCTTTTCACTTCCGGACTCGAGATGTGTGGTTGAGGTAGTGTGGGTGCCCTCAGAAGGCACGTCCCATACGTGAACGCCTCGGTCTCCCTTGTTAAACACCAGTGGTTAATGGCAGAGTGGAGCCAAGCGGCCCTGGCTCCAGCCTTTCCTCCAGCCACAGGTGAGCTGACCTTGGGCAGGCACCTGACCTCTCCTTGCCTCAGTGTGCTCCGCTTAAGATCAGGAAGATGATAATGTCCTTTAGCTTGTTGGGAAGATTAAACGAGTGAATGTTCATATCGTACTTACAACAGTGCCTGGCACATTTTCAATGCTGTGTAAGTGTTTTTTTCAAAACAAAATACCTAACTGGTGAAGTGAGTGTGGGTGAGCGGGCAAGAACCGGCTTCCCACCAGCCAACCAAACCCTTTAGGTTTTCATTCTGCCTAAGCCGCCCATTTTCAGCCCTGTTGGGGTTGCGTGGGGGGAGCTGCTGGGCAGGCACCTCCCATCAGGGGCAGGTGGGACGTCCTCTGAGTCTGGCTAGATGCAGCTTCTCTGCTGCACGCACTGCAGCACGCTGCACGCAGCAGGTCCCGGTGAGCACTGGGTGCTCTGTGAGTCAGAGGGGGAGTCAGCCCCGTGAGCCGCTCTGGCCCCCGAGGCTGCTGCTCCTCGGACTTGCAGGCACCAAGCTGCTGGCCTTGGTCTGGGAACTCTGACTCCTGAAGTTCAGGGACGCAGAGGGGCAGCGTGGTGGGCTTTAGATGAGCCATCTTCTGTCTCTTGCATCCTTTTGACTAGAAGCAGATTCTTTAAATTGGAAGAAACTCCAAAAACTGTAATCTTGGAATTTAAAACCTACAGCTTTTTGGAGAAGTTGCCATAAAAACTTGGCCTAAAACATTACATACAAACAGCAGTTCGACTGGCTTGGTAGTAAAGTAGTGTCTTCCTTACTTGGGCTGCGTCTTTCGGTGCTAATATTTGCAGTGAGTAGAGGGAAAGGCCCCCGGCTGCTGCTGTCAGTCTTCACCCACACCTCAGGGACTCCCACCTCCTTCCGCCCTGGAGGGTCCCGTGGTGCTCCTGCACAGAGCTGGCCTGCAGCTTCTCAGACCACAGAGAGCCTCGTGAGGAGAGTGAGCACCCCTCGCAGATCAGCCAGCCGTGCCTAGGAGAAGTCAGTTTTTGGTTTCAGTTTTTTCTTTGTGCTCCAAAAAGACAGTGGGGTGCGATGTGTGGAACAGCGGGGAAACAGCAGCGGAGGTATGCAGCCCGTGAGAGCTCGTGAACGTGCATGGGCTGGCGTTCCCATGCAGTCCGCTGTGGACTGAGCCCCCTGGGGTCAGGAGATACAAGGCACCTGGTGCCAGGCCAGGGAGTCAGACGAGCGGAGACGGGAAGGGGCTCAGAGCGCACCTGTAAGTAGGTGGTCATTTCCAGAGTCATGCAGGTGCATGCAGGAAGCGCCCCGCAGTGGTACCTGCTGCTGAGACATCAGAGACACAGGAACCGGGGCTGTGCTGGCGTGTGGGACTGGTTCACAGTTCCCTAGTTAGACATGGAGCGCAGAGGCTTTTGGAATGTTCGCCCACTTCCAAAGAGAAACAGCCCATCTGTGTGTAAGAAGAAGAACACAAGAGGCCCAGTTGTGTAGTATGTGAAAGAAACTGTTAGGTGGGCCTAACTTGAGGACATGGTTGAAGTAATAAAATGCACCGTGAGAAACTGGATGTAATGTAGTGGTGGTTTTTGTTTTTTGGGGTTTTTCTTTTTCTTGCTTCTCATTCTCTCTGCGCATAGCATAAATCCCCCTAGTCACTTAGTGGAGCAAGGAGTTGCTTAGAAAATAAAGTCTTCTAAGAAAGAGAAACCAGGCACGATCATGCACACCTGTAATCTCAGCACCAGGGAGGAGGCTTAGGCCGAGGGATCACTATGCGTTCAAAGCCAGCCTGAATTACATAGTGAAACCCTGCCGCCCCCCAAAAAAGAAATGCCCCAAGAATGCTGGACCTCATTCAGTGACTAACAAGAACATTTAATCTTATATAGAAAGATGACATTTTAATGACTTGATGTTGGAAGTTTCAGAGGGTCTAGAGAAGGACAGAAAGCTGGAAGCCTCAGTTCCTTACCCAGGTGCTACGGCAGGGGGAGGCAAGTTTCCCAACACAATCTAGTCACAGCAGAGATAGTTTAGTGGTCTAAGTGCCCGCTGGCGAGCTCAGGGACCCAGGTTTGGTACCTTGTACCGCTTGCCACACTAACACTGGCCCAGGTATACTGGCTGCCAAAAGACCAGGTTTGGTGGTACGCATCTGTAATCCCAGCACTGGGGAGGCTGAAACAGGAGGATCACTAATGAGTCCAAGCTGCATAGTGAGACCCTGTACCAAATAAATAAAATTTAAACAAGTAAAAAAAGGTGCCCCACTGAGGATGCCTCTTGAAAGAAGACAGCTTCCACATTTGATTGGCGAGACTATTTGCAGAAAGTCCCACAGTGTGCTTTCTATATAGGAAGTCCTTTCATATTAGAAGGCAAAGTAGAGTCATAAATGGTACAGTCACTTAGGGACATGGCTTCAGAGGGGTCAGGTGGTCACCCCACCCTCTCTGTGCTAGTGGCATTTATGTCTCGGCTGTGTCTGGGAAACTCTACCTCTGCCCCAGAAACTAGTCAAGCTTTTACTGTTAACTCTCCCTTATTTTCCATGAGTTTTAAATTAATAATCGTAGCTATTTTAAATTCCCTGGCTGGTGATTGCAACATCTGGGTCATCATGGAGTCTTGTTCCAATGATTATCTCTGTAGTGTTTATCATTCCTTTTAACATGGCTTGGAAGTTTTTATTGAAACTAGACATGGCATAGTGGCTAATAGGAACCAAGGTAGATAAACCATTAATGTAAGGTTTTTTTCCTCTTTTTTTCTTTTGTGTGGTATTGGGGATTGAACCCAGGACCTTGCCCTAGGTAGGCATCTATCACTGAGCTGTGTTC